TGCGGGCTGGCGGGCTGTGGGCCGAGTCCCGCCTCCCCTGGGAGTCTGGTCAGGGCCGAAAGCGGCCAGTGGGAGGTGCGGGCAGCCAGGGCGGAGGGATGGCCCTGAGCCCCGAGGGCTGAGGCGGACAGCGACGCAGGGCGGGCGTGGATGGCTGGCTCATGTCCCCCAGCCCAGGCCAGTGACCTGGAGAAGATTCACCTGGATGAGAAGGCTTTCCGCTGGCTGCACAACGAGGACCAGATGGCCGTGGAGAAGCTGTCCGACGGGATCCGCAAGTTTGCGGCTGACGCAGTGAAGCTGGAGCGGATGCTGACAGTGAGTGCGTTTACATGTTCTTCCGCCCGTGAGGCTGGGCCTGAGCGTGGTGTCCACACCAGGGTGGTGCTGGAGCTTTCGGTGGGGACACGGGGGCTCATTCATATGCCACCCAGCCCAGGAGGCCTGCCGAGGCCACCCTGGGTGAGGGCACCAGCGCCCAGGGATTTCCAGCGACTCTGTGGGGCCCGGCTCCTCCCCGGCCTGCAGTCACCGTCCGCAGTGTTGGCTGCCCTGTGGCCCTGCCTGCCATGCACAGTGCGGACCCGGCAGGGGCGGGCCGTGCAACCCACACTGTTCCCTTCCAGGAACGGATGTTCAACGCAGAGAACGGGCAGTAGTGCCACACCTGCGGCTGGACCCTCCCCCCGCGCTGCCCTTGGATTTGGGCCCGATTGCACATGGCTCGTGACGAGTCTTGCTTTTTTACCAATTGGAGCAGGGACAAGATCATAGATGTGTGGTTTTATGCAAGATTTTGCCGAATGCATTAAATCAGTCGCTTTTCCTGTGTGGTTTCATTTTGCTGTCTCAGTCCCCTTTGTGCCCTGAGCCCCAGCTGTCCCAGCGGTCGCTGCAGTGGGGCCTGGACTGGGAGTGGGGTCGGGAGTGGGTCAGGGTGCCCTGGTGAGCCACCTCGGGGCGGCCCACCACTGGGCTGCAACCCATGCCAGGCCAGGGTTCTTGCTGGGCCCCCGGGATCTTCCCCGGCGAGTCACAGGCGAATGTGGAAGCCGCCCTAGACTTCCCCGGGGGGCAGGTGCAGCCGCCGCCAGAGGGGCGCGGCCCCAGCCCAACCCTGGCGCTCCCTGGCGCTCCCTGCTCCTGGGACGGCCAGGGCGGCGGGCACCCACGGGCCCTCAGGCACGCCTGGTTCCTGAGCAGGGAGGTGGCGCCACCTTGTGGAGGCAGCACCCGCGCACCGGGCCGCTCTGAAACTGCCCTTTGTGGCCCCTTGAGCGACGCCTCCCTGCACTGTTTGGGCTTGGAAAGCAGCTGGCTGGGGGGGTCTCCTCTGCTCCTGCAAACGACGGGGCGCGGGGCTGAGGGCCCCAGGCCCGTGTCTCCAGCCTCCCAGTTGTGGACGTGAGGGGCCAGGCTGTGCGGCGCAGTCCCTTCCTCCTCCACGCCGAGTTCCCTGCAGTCCTGGGCTCCCGGACCCCGTGGCTTCCTTCCAGTGGGGCCTGACTGGCTCGGGGTGCCAGGCTCTGGGAAGTGAGGCCCCTTGGTCCCCTATTTGCTGGGGTCAGAGCAGCGGAGAGTTCTGGAGCGACCTCCCCACTTCTCCCGCAGGGCCACGAGCAGGGCTAGCCTCGGAAGAGGGGCTCCAGCTTCTCCCCTAGCCCACCGCGAGCTGCCCCAGCTCAGATCAGCCTTCTGGCCGCTCCTGCTGAGCACCCCCACTGGGTGGGCTTGGCCCGTCCAGTGTGCCGGGGGCAGTGGGTCAGAGTGGCGTGCCAGAAGGGCAACCGGGCTGCAATGGCCCTTAGTCAATCTGCAGGGATCCCCTGGGGGTGGAGTGTGGTGGGCAGGGCAGAGTCCGTGCCAGTGCCACCTCTGGCCCTCCCACCCCTCAGCAGTCCAACGGGCAGGGGTGACCCAAGGCTTCCCACTGGAGCCTACACCTCTCCCTCTGAGCTGGTCACCAGACTGTACTGAGAGGACATCGGGGTCTTGGGGCTCCCAGTCTCGACAGCACCAGCAACTCGAGAGACCCCCCCCGCCTGGGGTCTCTGGGGATGGGGGCTGGGCTCTGTGTGAGACTGACTTTGTGGGTGTGACTGCCGAATACCAAGTTCACCCGCTTCCATGTTTGATTCAGTGATCTCAGTACTTAGGAGAGCTGTGCAGCCATCGCCGCCAACTTGGACCATCTTCATCGCCCTCAAAGGAAAACTGTCCTTTGTCCCCATTCCCACCACAGACGACCCATCGGCTTGCTCTGACTTGCATTTTTCTAGGTATTTTACACAAATAGACTCGCCTGACGTGAGGCCTCTCTGGCAACCGGTTTTTTTCCATTTAGCACCACGTTGCCAAGGTCTGCCCACACGAAAGGATGTGCCGGGCGCAGTGGGGCATTATCTGCAGTCCCAGCCACTTGGGGGACTGAGGCGGGAGGATCCCTTGAGGCCAGTTCAGGGCTACAGCGGCCGCTATCACACCTGTGAACAGCCACTGCACTCCAGCCAAGGCGACACGGGGTGCCAGACACTTGTCTAAAAATGAAAATGAAGAACTTCGTTCCTTTTCCTACCGAAACTTCATTCCACTGCACGGGTGTCAGCGTCACCTCCTGTTAGCGGATGCCAGCAACATCGTGATATTCCACTGCACGGGAAGCTTATTCACGATGGTCGGCAACTCTGCTGTGGACACCCAGCACCATTTTCATGGGGCTGCATGCTTTTGTCTTGCAGGCAGGGGAAGGGACCGGCTAGAACCTGCACTGGGCATGTGGGGAAGTCCTGGCCCCTCAGCTTCTGCCGTTCCAGGGTCGTCCCTTCTCTGTCTTCCTTTCCTGGCCTGGTGGGCCACCTGGCCCCGGCCCAGAACCGAGCACAGCAGGAAGGCTGTGGAGATCCACAGAGCAGCTCACCCAGGAGCCAGGGCCGTTCAGGCCCTTGTCAGAGCCCAACTCACATCCCCAAAGCCTTACGTGTCCCCATCTGGACCCCTGGCTCAAGTGCAGACCTGGCCAGACGCTCAGCTGGAGGTATCGGAGCTCTATAATCTGCCCTGCTATGGTCTGTGTTGTCCCGCCTAAAAAAACGATTTGCTGAAGTCCTCACACCCAAGGCGGTGGTACTAGGAGCCAATCAGGTCATTGGGGCAGAGCCCTCATGATGGGACTGTCACCCTTGTAAAGGAGGCCAAACCTTCCGATGCCTTATCTGGGGCTTCAGCCACCCGCCTGCCTGCTCACCTAGCAGAGCTGGGAGAAACAGATCTCACTTGTTCGTAAGCCTCTCAGCTCATGGTATTTGCTTATAGGCCCAAATGGACCAAAACATTAAGGCGTGATGGTAATTTTTTTTATTTTTCTTGAGCTGGAGTCTCACTCTGTGGCCTAGGCTGGAGTGCAGCAGCACGCTCATGGCCACCACAGCCTCAACCTGCTGGGCTCCGGCGATCCTTCCACCTCAGCCTTCCAAGTAGCTGGAACTACAGGCACGCACCACCATGCCTGG